ACCAGGTTGGTCACAGTGACTTCGCGGGAGTCTCCCTCCACAGGCAACGCTTGGGGTTGGCCATCTGCATCCTTGTACTGGACCAGGAAGGAGTCAAAGCTCCCGGTGGGGACGGTCCAATAGAGACGGACAGAATCGCTTGTGACGTCAAGGACTGAGAGCTCCCCCAGGCTGGGTTGGACAGGAATTACTTCTTCTGAGTCTGTACGGTGGGCTAAAACAGGGAAATGAAAGAAAAGGCTTAGTTTCAATAGCTTAAGCCCAAGAAACTCCATGAGACAGTTCTGGAATAGCTCAGTTATTTTATTAGCTCATACCTGCTAGACAGAATCTTGCCAGACTAACTCTAAGCTCCCCAGGCCAGCAACTAAATACTACGAATTCCTTAGGGTGGTGTCAGTCTCATCTTCTTCACTTTCCCATGCTCACACTGTGGGCTGAGGAGATGCTTCTGTCCTTGACCCCTCTCATTCCATTCCGTCACAAAAACAATAACACACTACCCTTCCGAGATATCCTCATCAGCAGAGGAAACAACAGCAAACTAGAAACCCAAGTTTAGTGGAAGACAACCCACGCTAATCAAGTACTCCATGACCAAAGGAACAGCCCAACCTCCCACAAAAGCAGCTCTGTACATCTTCCAACAAAATGGATATCCAGCAACTTTATCAAAAGGTGCCTGACCACTCAACCTACTACAACACAAACAACACAAGCTATTAAAAGGATCACACTGCCCTACATCAGAAATGTCTCAGAAACCACCAACAAACTATTACAACCACATGGCATCTCTGTGGCACACAAACCAACGAAAGCCCTCCAAAATAACTTAAATAAACCAAAAGACCCAGTAGCACAAGAAGAAAAAACAGGAGTCATCTACAAGGACTGCAACAAACACTATGTAGGACAGACAGGCAGAAGACTAGCAGAGCACATCCACGAACACCAACTAGCAGTCAGAAGAAATGATGAAAACTCCTTAATCTCACAACACAGAGACAGATATAACCATAATTTTAACGGGGAAGCTGTCAGCATTCTAGACCAAGCAAAACCCAAAAATGCAAGGAAATTCTTGGAAGTTTGGTATTCAGACAAGGCTGCAATTAACAGACACATAGAAATAAACAGCATCTACACACTATTCAAAAGAGACA